GGAGCAAGCACTGTCGGAGGGTCAGTGCCGAGGGAGCGGGCACTGTCAAGAGGATTCGCGCCTATTGAGCAGGCACAGTCGGAGGGTCAGTGCCCGCTCCCTCAGTACTGACCCTCCGACAGTGCGGCACTCCCTCAATAGGGACAGGCCGGAACGGACTGTTCCCCCTAGCCCACAACCAATCCCCCTGCCTCTCCTTCCCCCAAGGCCGATCCCCACCCCCTCGTGACACACCCCTCCCCTCCCGCCGAATGTCCTCCATCCCGTAAGAATCTCAGCCGCACCCCTCAGATCCTGGTGATCTGAGGCAAATACAGGAATCGCTGGAGAAACTCTGCAGCGTCTCCGTGCGGAGTGACACCAAGAGAGAGAACATTTCTCGGTCCACTCTGGGCTCCCCCACTCCCCTCGAACTCCTCACTACCGAACCGGGAGGTGGAATCGTGTTTCTGTTCGGGGAGGAGGAAGAGGAGCGAGGGGGACCAGAGGGTATGGAGGGAGAGGGCAGGGCCACCGGGAGTGTAAATGGTTGTGCGTGTGAGATAGAGAGATGGGAAAATAGAGAGAGTGGGGTTCTCATTACTGACGAATGAGACCCCAAGGGGACGAGGTCTATATGGAGGGGGTCGAGGGTGGTCGGGGAGGTTTTATTGAGGGGAGGGGCTCTGCACTCATTGCTGGCCGGTTCTCTAACCATCTCTTTCCCTTCCTCTCTCTCTCTCTCACCCGCCCCCTCCACAACCAGGCAGTACGGCTCTCCCTCCCTCCGTCACGGTCTATCCCCCTCCCCTGAGGAGCTCGCCCCACTCAGACACGGCCACCCTCAGGTGCCTGGTGAGCGGTTTCAAACCGGGCCTGGTGGGTGGGCCTCGAGTGGATTTCGGGCAGCTCCCTGGATCGGTTCAGGTACCAGCTGGAACCCGGTGACCCCTGGAGGAGGGGCGGGGTCGGGTCTGGTACCCCCTCCCACCCCATCCTCAACACCCCACACACACCCTCCTTCCCTGAGGGACCTTCTGGAACGTTTGCCAATTGACCCCTGACCTCTCATCCTGCCCAACTTCGCCACCCTGAGGAACCTTCTGGAACATTTGGCCATCGAAACGTGTCACTTGCACTCCCCCCTCCAAACCCCAACCCCCGTCCTCGCCCTCTACACCCACCTCCTGGAGGAAACTTCTGGAACAATTGTCAATTGACCCATCACCTCTCCCCAGTGACCTCCCTCATGACCCCACCCTCCATCCGTGAGGAACTTTCTGGAACATTTATCATTCAACCCCTTGACCTCCCAACCTCCCTCCCTGAGGAACCTTCTGGAACATTCGTTGTTCGACCCTTGACCTCCCAACTTGAGGAACCTACTGGAACATTCATTGTTCGACCCTTGACCTCCCAACCTCCCTCCCTGAGGAACCTTCTGGAACATTTATCGTTCGACCCTTGACCTCCCAACCTCCC